GGCAGAAACAAGCAGCTAGGAAGCTTGCTTGCAAGTTGTCGGCAGCCGGCAATAAGAGAAGCAACAATCAGCTATTCAACTTCAGTGTTATTATCAGGTGAGATATATTTTTACAACTAATTGCTTATGATTACCCCTGGAGAAGACAATTCCTATATACAGAAAAAAGAAACTCTTATCAATCATAGAGCGGCAGAAAATCTGGAGAGAGGGATAGCTGATGCAAAGAAAAGAATTTAAAGATTAATGGGACATTAACTACTAATTTAAATACATTTAAAATATACTTTAAGAATATTATAATTTGGCGCTATAAATCTTAAGAAATTTTCTCGTAAGTTATTCCTGGTTACGTCTGGAGTTATCTTATGTTTTGACTACTTGAAGTCTTTTGGCATAATGCCCAGAACAGTGACCTTGAGCACTCTACTGCTGTTTAAAGCTTGGAAACCTGTTTTTTTTATTTCTTTTTGATTTTTTCATGCCTAGCTGGAACATAGACAAATTAACCCTAAAGTGGATCTTTTTAAACTGTACTTTTGGAATTAGTATATTGGGCCAAAGCGAACTTTTTGGAACCACATCCAGGGACTTGGAATTCCAGTTTTGGCCGATGCAGAATTGCGGGAACTAGGCTACCAGGACATGGATACAAACACTGAATTGGACTGTGATATTTGGGGGTTTTGACCAAAGTAGATAATCTGAAACTGCCCCAGGAGCTGGAAGTGTTTGTGTTTGATTAGCTGGTGTAAACCTGTGGGAATTAGGCCATCAGGCCGCGGATACAACCATTGCATTGTACCTTGGTACTTCGGGGGTTTAAATCTTGGTTCAGGCCTATTGAGCCAAAGCGGGCTCTTTGGACTGACTCTGGAGACTTGGAATATCTGTTTAGCTGGCATCAATTTACCAGGGATCAGTTAGGACACTGGACTGTGAGACTTGGGGTCTTCGAATCTTGGCTTAAGTTCTTGGGCAGCTGGAACAGAATGGCACAACAAGGACAATTTTGTCCTTGAATGCTTAGAGAGACAGAAACAAAAAGTGAAAAAAGAGAAATAAGAGAGGGAATTACTTAGAAAGATGAAAAGGGGAAAAATAGGAAGGGGGCCCGTAATGTTGAAAAACATGTATATATTTAACTTCAGGAATTGTAAAAGAGCATATCATATTAAAAAGGAGAATTAAATTGAAATAAGGGAGCTTTAACCAGGGTAAAGATGTAATATGGTGGGTTTTTTTAAGGTAAATTAAACTAGATATAAGGTTGGGGCATGGATCTGGAACTACTTTTATTAAGAATGTTATTAGAAGATCTTGAGAATATTGTACACTATGAAAGTAATATTATGATAGTAGCCATATTATATACAGTTAAACAGACAGGCGCTCTGTTTAACGATGAATCCGCTTTACTATGAGGTTTTTGCGATTGCAAAAGTGATCGCAAAACGAGGTTTTGAATGGGGGAATTTCGCTGCGCGATGATCAGTTCCCTGTTTCGGCAACCGATTTTCACTTCCCGACAATCAAAACAGCTGACCGTCGGGTTTTCAAAATGGCCGCCGAGTGCTCAAAATGGCTCCCCGCTGTGTTTAGGAGCCATTTTTCGCTGCACAGGCACCCAAAAATGGCCACCCCTATGGAGGATCTTCGCTGGACGATGAGTTCTTAGCCGATTGGAACGCATTAACCAGATTTTAATGCGTTTCAATGGCTTTTTTAATGTTCGCTTTATGACGTTTTCGTTCTACAGCGATTTTGCTGGAACGAATTAACGTCGTAATGCGAGGCACCACTGTACTAAAATATGTACATGAATGGTTTGAATGTTTGAAAGATGTCTGGAATTTGGGGAGACAACTGGGAAGACACTGAGATGTAAAAAACAAATAATTGTAAGCAAATCATGTAACACGATGTTTGAGAAGCACAAATCAAATGCAGATAGAGTGAAAAATCAATAAATGTTTAAAAAATTGGGAAAGGAGTACAACAAGGCTGTATATTCTCTCCTTGCTTATTTAATTTATATGCATAATACATCATGCAAAAGGCTGGACTGGATGAATCTCAAGCCAGAATTAAGATTGCTGGAAGAAATATCAACAGCCTCCAATATGCAGATGATACCACTCTGATGGCAGAAAGTGAGGAGAAATTAAGGAACCTCTTAATGAGGTTGAAAGAGGAGACTGCAAAAAATGATCAGAAACTCAACATCAAGAAAATTAAGATCATGGCCATGGGTCCCATCGCCTCCTGGCAAATAGAAGGGGAAGATATGGAGGCAGCAACAGATTTTACATTTTTGGGCTCCATGATCACTGCAGCCACAAAATTAAAAGACACCTGCTTCTTGGGAGGAAAGGGATGACAAAGCTAGACAGCATCTTAAAAAGCAGAGACATCACCTTGCCGACAAAGTCCGCATAGTCAAAGCTATCGTTTTTCCTGTAGTGATGTATGGAAGTGAGAGCTGAATCATAAAGAAGGCTGACCGCTGAAGAATTGATGCTTTTGAATTGTGGTGCTGGAGGAGACTATTAAGAGTCCCCTGGACTGCAAAGAGATCTAACCTATCCATTTTGGAGGAAATCAACCTTGAGTACTCACTGGAACGACAGATCCTGAAACTGAGGCTCCAATACTTTGGCCATCTCATGAGAAGAGAAGACTCCCTGGAAAAGACCTTGATGTTAGGAAAGTGTGAAGGCAAGAGGAGGAGGGGACAACAGAGGATGAGATGGTTGGACAGCGTCATCGAAGCAACCAACATGAATTTGACCCAACTCTGGGAGGCAGTGGAAGGCAGGAGGGCCTGGCGTGCTCTGGTCCATGGGGGCACGAAGAGTCAGACACGATCTAACGACTGAACAACAACGAAAGGAGAATTTATCAGATGGAGTAGGTGGCTTGAGGACTGTTATCTCTGGTGGATCATGATAAGTCTTTTCAGTCTACAGAGAATCTGAATCATGTATTGGCCTCTTAGGCTGGTCTGAATAAAATATTTGCAGGTGCTCTAAAAAGACAAAGTCTGTAAGCATGCAGGACACAGCTTGTGTGTTACCCACAAGAGATTTTTGTAAAAATTCCTTCCCATGCCACATAGTTTAAACAAAAATCAGAAAAATAAGTTTGGTGATTAGTATGTGTCTTCTGCTCTTGGAGATTTCCAAGAGAGCCATTTCCACATTAAACAGGTTTGGGGGTACTTCTCCAACCCCATCGTCTGCCAAACCCACAATCAAAACCAGAAAGGGATGTCCAGCCATTTCCAGTGTTTATGTTGTTCCCTTTCCTTAAAAAAAAAGAAATTCAAGATCTCATGCAATCTGCCTACAGGTGCTGGGCACCCAGATTTGGTCCCCAAATTTGCCAAAGTTGCCTACAACAATAAACGCACACCTCCGCTCTTGCCTCACATTCATTCTTTTGTGGCTCCTCACGGACTATCGCACTGTGGCAATTGGCTCACATGTAACACTTTGTCAAGTCGATTAGGAGACTGTCCATGCCATCCCGCTGTCGTGTTGAGGAGGGAGTTCTAGACCTTGCTAGGTTTTGACATTATAGTCTGCCTTAAGTCAGTGGTACGAAAAAGTGAGGATTTGCACCACTTCAAAACCTAACAGCTCCTTGCTTTATACTTCTTGAAGTACTTTGTACTTCTTGGTAAAGGTAAAGGTTCCCCTTGACAATTTGTCCAGTCGTGTCTGACTCTAGGGGGCGGTACTCATTTCTGTTTCCAACTCATAGAGCTAGCGTTTGTCCATAGACAGTCCTCCGTGATCACGTTGCCAGCGTGACTAGACACGGAACACCGTTTACCTTCCCACTGAGGTGGTACCTATTCATCTACTTGCATTTGCATTTTGCATGCTTTCGAATCGCTAGGTTGGCGGGAGCTGGGACAAGCGATGGGGGCTCACTCCCTTGCGTGGATTCGATCTTACGACTGCAGGTCTTCTGACCTTGCAGCACAGAGGCTTCAGCGGTGAAAACTGATTATACAGAATCAGTTTGTATTTGTGTCTCTTTAAGTATATCATTATGCATGTTAAAAAATGTAGACCTGAGTAATTGCTAATCTCACACACACACACACACACACACACACACACACAGAGAGAGAGAGAGAGAGAGAGAGAGGTGTTTCCTGTGGTAAGAACAATATTGCCATAATTCATCGTTAACCGCTAGATACACACTCGTTCTATGAATACATTATCTTCATTGGGAGGCTTTTGATATGCTTACTGTACAATCTTTTACATGCCTATTTCGAAATAAGTCGCAGTGAGTTGAATGATGCTTACTCTCAAGTAAGTGTGGCTAGGATTGCAGGTTTTATATGTCTGGACAGCCAGTTTGAATTCATTTTCTCTGTGTGGTGTCGCAAATTTTTTTTTTTACTCAGGTCTTTCCAGTTAAGATGAGAGGAATGCACTAAAAATATATGCAGTTCTTTAATCTCATGTGCTGACTGTTTACTGCATTTATTTACAATAATTTGACTCCTCCTAATATTTTCTAGGGCATTGCACCAAAATTAGAATTTTCCACAAGAACAACTATTACAGAACTCCCGCTTATGCCAGGAAGGTGGTATCGGGTAAGAAATGCTAACTAGTTACTCTCATAAGGAGAGAAATGTGTCTGATCACATTTAATTTTAATTTAAGCATCATTGCAGTATAGAGGTTAAACGGCAGTACTGCAGTGAAGACTCTGCCTGAGTTCAATCTTGGACTCAGGTCAGCAGCTCGAGGGTGACTCAGCCTTCTGTCCTTCTAAGGTCAATAAATTCCGTACCCAGTTCCCTTGTGGGCGGGGTGGTGGTGCAATGTGTAACCTGCAGAATTAAATTGTAAACTGCCCAGATTGAGCTTTAAGCCCTGTGGAGCACTGTTTAAACAGCACACTTTAATTTTGCTCCTTACTTCATTATAGCAATCCACGTAGTATGGAAGGAATCATACTGATTTCACTTTGAGGCAGATCTTTCACCTATTACTTAGATTAATGGCAACCTTGAAAAGCCTCAAAATCTGAAAAATACCATTTATCTAACCTTTTAATAATCCCAACAGTAGTTAATTTTGTCAGAAATGTTGTGCATTTCCTCACTAATCTGTACGTATCCCCCCATAATTCAAGATCAATAAACTAGTATCTGCTTTTAATATTATAGAGGATACAGTACAGTCAAATTTGCAGGCAAATAGCTAGTTGCACATAATAGTCCAAATCTTCTTGACTCTAGCTATGGTGGTGCAACATGAATGACATAACATTTGGAGGAAAATTGCCTGAAGTTAAGAAATTGCTGTAAACATTTTCTCTTGTATGCTGAGTTGCATGACTCTGTGTGCAACTGATAGTGTCTATAATTTTTTGTTAACCCAGGGCAATTTGCCTCCAAAAGCTTCACCATTTGCGTAGCTATGCAACAGACTTTTTGCCAATAACTGGTTGCTAAAAATGCAACAGGTTGCCCTTTGGCATCAGCAGATGCATTTTCCTCCTTTTGTTTTCATTGTTCTTCCTTTATAAGCTGCTTTGTCTTCTTCCATTTTGCACTTTTAAAAAATCCTTATTTACATTGTATTATTATTCTTATTTTTAAAAAAGTAATGTTAAAGTAGATGTAGCCACTCATTTATTAGGATTCAGATACGTATTTCAAATAGAAATGGCTAGGGAAGGCTGCAGGCACAAATCTCTCTTTCTGGATTTGGGGCCAAGAACAAAAAATCCATTGTTTAAACAAAGTTTTGTTCCTTGATCATCACATTCTTCCTTTATAATTTTTTTACGTATTTATTTTTGTTGTTTTGTCTGTATTCACCATCTTGTGCTCTTTGTGAGCTGCTTTATATATATATATATAGTGATGTGGATGGGGGGATGGTTGTTTTCACTATACTCATGTTTATCCTTTTGTTGGAAACCATCCATGCCATTAGATGGTGCGGTACAGAAATTTAATAAATAAATAAATAAAATTGTCTTACTGATTGGTCACTCAGTGAAATGTGAGGAAATCTTTAAAGATAAATTAACAATGAGTGGGAGCTTTCATTCATTGATAATCTAAAAGTAGGGCTGAAATTGGCTGTTTGGCAAAATGGAAGTGACTGAAACCTTGTTGCACAACTTCACCTCTGCAGCAGTGATGCCCTCACCAGTGGTGGCAGGTCGCTGTTGATCAAGGCTTCCTTTTGTGGCTTCATTGTGCACACAGTTTGTACACAATGCAATGAATCATGTGCTCACTGAGATTTTAAAAGGAAGCCTTTAATCAGCAGCAATCTGATGGTGATGTCATTCCGATTGCACAAGCAGATCTACTTAACACACTTTCAGCCGGTGTTTTAGAATTGAAGGTAAAATAAATGGTTTGTTCTTCATGGGAAAACTGATAGTAGACTATGTATCAACACAGTAGTCTGGAGAGAGTCTGTGTCAGAGAGGCTGAGCACTTGATCCTTAGAGCATCAAGGATATCCGTCCAGTACCATTTGGATCTTAAAAATATTTTCTTGGGGCTTAATCTATTTGCTGCATGGTTTTCATGAAGGTCTTTATGCTTTCAAATCAGCACCTTCACATTTCAGTGGAGAGGGAAATGAAATCTGCTTTAAGAAATTATTCTCTAAAGTAGATTTCATTTGCTTTATTCTTCACAGAATGCTAGAGAATGCTGAGTTATAAGACTTGGGCAGAAATAATGAAATGTTTTTTCTATTTCTTCCCAGAGCTTGGAAAAGTTACTTTTTAAAGCTACAGGTGTACCTCGGTTTACGAACTTAATGTGTTCTACAAGACATTACGTCATGCGAAAAATTCCTAAAACTGAAATGCGGATTGCCATAGGGATGGGGGCGCCACCATAAACCTCCAGGCACAATGCATTCTGGGGAAACTTTCTTCGTAAACCGAAAAACCCATAAAAAAACCCTTAAACCGAGGCACTAATTTCAATGGATTTTGCTTTGTAAACTGAAAATTACATTAAGCGAGGCGTTCATAAACTGAGGTACCACTGTACATCTCTCAGTGGCTATGCTGACTAGGCTACTTTGGAAGTTGTGGGCAAAATAACTTCTCAGAGTGTTGCTGATTTCATTGTGACACTGACTTTCCTGTATATAATCAAACATTTTCTCATTTTAATATGAAAGTTACATGGAGGTATTTTCCCTCAACATGCACATTTGAGATTCTAGCAGCTCAACTGACAGGTTATATTTACTAGAATATATATACTAGAATCAGAATCATTTGGGGAACAAACATTCAGAAATGAGTTTGACTGTTTAGCTATGTTTGTAGGCTTGTCTGAAGTTATCAGCTGGCTCTTGCTGGAGGCATCTTTCTTAAGTTTATCACTCAGGCCTCATAGTCCACTTGCTGTCCATTGATCACCACCTGTTTCATAGAATGAAGGTTTCAGGCAGTCTACAGTTAGCTTCTCCCTTCTGACATGACTTCTCCCTTTCCATTTCAAGGGCCTTTCTCATTATACAGTCTGAACTTATGAAGTTTTGCTGGGGTGGAGTTTGTTACTCTTTGGATATTTGCTCCATTGCTTTTTGCAGTTTGCGATAGGAAGTGCAGACTACAGTATGTTTTGCAGGACAGAAATAGGACAAGGTCACGAAGGGCCACCTCAGCATCGCCCCAGCGAAAGAGCGTCTCACCGGCACGATGGAGGACGACAAAGAAAAAGACCTGTCAGAGACTTACAAGGTCCTTACAGTCCCGCTCTCCATCTCCAAGTCCAGCAAGGCGTCGCCACGAGCTCCTCAGGGACAGCCAGCAGCAGGGCTTGAGGTCCGTAAAGTTCAAAGCAGAAGCTGACCACAAGCCACCTTTTGTAGTTAGACATGTAAGTCCTGAGAATGACACCACCCAGCTAACATTTAGACATTGTTGATTTTTCAGTGGTGCCAACTGGAGATTCAATAATTAAGGATGGGCTCCAATTTGGATTTGATTCAGGTACCAATGCAGAGTCTAAACTGATTGCTAAGGAACCTACTATGTGCTGATGATACCATTGGGTTTTAATGGGGGTCCAGAGGACTCCAACCAGGCTGCGGCCTGTGTGTCAATAATGAAGCATGCCCTGTTGTTCTGGTAGAGCCACCCGGGGTCTGTTAAGTTGGCAGGAAGGTCTTGTTGTTACACTTGCTCCATAACTATCCTGGAATCTAGGATGCTGCTCTTTATGCTTAAGCTTTTTGATGGCGATATCATGAGAAGTGTAGTTTCCTGTGCCAAGAAGCCTCCTTCTGTGGGGCACAGGGAGGGGTGTATCCATAATGGATATACCCCAGCCATTTCAGAGGCTCATACACCCTGGTCTCATGGAAAGCCTTTACTGTGGGACTTCGGTTCTTGCCACCACTGTCAAGTCTAGGCATTACATCATACTGCCTATTAGTGCTTTTAATTTAGTAGGATAGTGCTGGAAAGAATAAAAAATTAGTGCTGGAATTGACCTCTCACAAATTTCCACGGTCTTGCTTCAGTACTGCAGGAACAAATGAGATACATCACGCCAAGACTTAACAGAGCAGATTATTACATCAGTAATATGCATTCGTAAGAGCTATTTGGGGAATGCAGGCATTAAATGTTTATTTTCAGGGTGTGAAGCAATGAAGAGCTGTATGGAGTGAGCAAGAAACTTCTGTCATGAAGAGAGTATTCAACACATTATTGGTCTGTTTATAGACTGTCATTTAATGGTCATTTTGAATGAACACGAAAAAGCTTTAATAATGAGTTTACGCTCGCACATTATGGCTGGGAAATGATCACTGTTCAATGTATATGCCTTTAGTTGCAACAACAACAATTTTTTAAAAACCCAGAAAAATTGAACAGGTATGAGTAACCATATATTTACGGTTATTCACAATTAATGCAATTACAGAGTATGAATATGCAGTGTTAAAACTAGTACATGCAGGGTGGTTGCAACTGATTTGTATTGTAGACTCATACTGGAGTCCTGTCCACACTGTGAAATTTGGTGCAATCCAGCCTGTGCTTAAAAGGTCCTTATTAGAGATGAGCACAGAACAAACCATGAACCAAAACAGAATATGAACCGGGCTGGTTCATGGTTCATTTTGTGGGCAGTTCGGGGAGCTATGCTTTCATGAAGCGAAATGAAACACTGAACTTTTTCATCATCGCCGTTTTGTTTCCTTTCATCCCCCCCCCCAGAAAGCTTCCTTCATTGGCCCCAGCATTTGCTTACTCTCTCCAAGCCGCCTCCTCCTTTCCTCCACCACTGCTGTCCGCTGAAGTAGGACAGTAGGCTGTCTGGAACCTACTTCATGTCCCCGTGCTTCCTGGGAGGCTTAGTGTATTGTGGGGCTCTGCTGTCAGGTCCCCACTGACAGGAAAGTTGGGACAAAATTGATGGAGAGAGCACTGAATTGAAGAGTGCCCAGAACTCCTCACCAATAACTCCAAGTACTCAAGCAGCAAACCTTAACTGTCACATTTTTCCACCACCATAAAACACGGGGGAGAGATGAAGGAAAAAGGCTGGTGATCTGCAGACTGACCTGCACGCTCTGGTTTTATGCTGGGCAGGTGGACCTGAGTGGAAATGGCTGTCTCTCGGTCCCATTGTCTCACAGACTTCAGACTGAATTCCCCACCAGCCAATGAAAGCTGGCAGAGGGGCTCCCTTCCCTGTTGGCCAATGAGAAGTGCCAGGGGATCCAAATCGAAGGATATCTGCCAGGCGGTTTACTTTGGTTGAAAGAATGGATTACATTGAGCAACAGATGATGATGATGATGAGCCACTTCCATGCTATGTAGTATACCAGGCAGCTTGAGTAAGAGAAGATTACTAGATTTGGAAGGTCACAATTTGACACATGGGTGACATGGGGTATCTTTGGTATAATAAAATGAAAGTAAATGCAGATTTTAATAACCATTATATACAGCAAGCTATTTTAAGGATCTGGAACTTTTTCAAATCAAAACTCTCACCTAAAATGCCACTATGGGTATCCCCACATGAGGCATTGTTTAAAAGGGAAATGACATACAAAGGTAAATGGTTAACCTACAAAGATATTTTCAAATTGGAAGGGTGAGAATATACGATGAAGTCGAGAGAAGATTTAATGGAGGTCAGTGGTTTGCATATGTAGAATTATTAGAAAGATTTAAAACAGATAGGAAAATATCTTTCAAAGACTATCCTTGAAAAATAATTGTGTAATGATGAAGATCATTTGATTGCTAAGATGTATAAAATGATTTTGAAATTTGATACAGAGGAAGAGCAAGGTAAAGAATGTTTGGTAAAATGGACACAAATTTCTAATATAATATCCAAATGGAACAATGGGAGGGAATGTGGAAGCATGGATTGAAATTTATATTGTGTTAAAATCTTAAAGGAACTTTCTATAAAATTATGTACAAATGGTATTTGACAACAGAGCAGTTGTCTAAAGTGTATAAAGGGGTTACCAACAAGTGCTGGAAATGCCGAGAGAAAGATAGTTCTTTTTTCCACTTGTGATAGACATGTAAAATAGCTAAAATGTTATGTAAGTCAATTCACATAACAATGCAAAATGTATTGAAAGTTACTCTGCAATTGAAACCAGAATTGTTTCTTCTGAGTATAGTAGATAATCAGGTGGAAAAGAGTAAAGTAGCATAAGATATACGACAACAACAGCAAAACTTTATGTGCAATATTGGAAAATGGAGCAAGCACCTACAACAGAAGAATGCCTATTTAAGGTGCTGGACATTGCTGAAATTGCAAAACTCAGACCTTATAAAGGACAAGTCACTGACAAACTTTAAAACAACCTGGAAGCCTTTATTGAACTTTTTGCTAGACAGAAAAAAAACACACCCCATGAATTAATGACATTAATCGGCATTGGTCACCCAGGAATACAAATCAGCATTGGTCTCCCTGCAGGATGACCTCCTGAGGGAGGACGACAGGGGCAATATGTCCTTGTTGGTCCTCCTTGATAGCTCAGCAACCTTTGATACCGTCGACCATGGTATCCTCCTGGGCCAGCTCTCCGCGTTGGGGATCGGTGGCATCGCTTTGGCATGGCTCCATTCCTTTTATGAGGACCGTCCCCAGAGAGTGCAGCTTGGCGAGATGACTTCCACCCTGTGGCTCCTCAATTGCAGGGTTCTGCAGGGGTCGATCATCCTGCCAATGCTATTTAATATCTATTTGAGGCCGGTGGGTGAGGTCATCTGGAGTTGTGGGGCCCAGTGCCATCAGTATGCTGATGACACCCAGCTCTAACTCTCCTTTTTCCAACTGCAATGGATGCTGTTCCGACCCTTGAACGCTGCATGAGGAACGTTCTGGAGTGGATGAGGGCAAATGGATGGAGGTTGAATCTGGACAAGATGGAAATCATGGGCAGCCCTGGTGTCAAAGGGTTGAGAAACTCCCTCTCCTTTGGGGGAGTGACTCTTCCCACAAAGAATGAGGTTCGCAGCTTGGGCGTCTGTCTGGACCCGGATCTCACCAAGGAACCCAGGTGGCATCTGTGGTCCAGGCAGCCCATTTCCATCTTCGGAGGATTGCCCAGCTGCATCCCTATCTAGACTCAGGGGCACTCATGACACTGATTCATGCCCTTGTAATCTCAAGACTACTGCAGTGCTCTCTCCGTGGGGCTACCCTTAAGGCTGATGTGGAGACTTCAACTGGTCCAAAATTTGGTGGCCAGATTAATAACTGAGTGAAGAAATTCCAACACCTCTCCCCCACTCTGGCCATCCTTCCTTGGTTACCAGTTCATTTCTGTATCGACTTCAAGGTTATGATGATAACATTCAAAGCCCTAAACGGTTTAGGACCTTGGTACCTATCAGAACACCTGCTCCCAGCCAGATCTGTCTGTAATATCTGTTCTTCACAGGCAGGGCGGTTGAGGGCCTTGACCCCAAAGGAGGCCTGGAGGAAAAGAACAAGAAACCAGGCCTTCTCAGCGGTCGCCCTCCGCCTGTGGAACAACCTGCTCACTGAGATCCATCTGGCACCTTCGCTGGATGGGTTCAGACGAGCATTGAAGACTTGGCTCTTCCACCAGCCTTTTCCTGACCATTAAGATCTCAGCCCCCTTTTACCATCCTTTTTGCCATCCTTTTCATCACCCTTTTACCACCTTCATTGCCATCCATTTTAATTTATCTTGTTGCTATGTATTATTTTATTGTGTTTTAATATTGGTGTTTATATTGTTGTTAACGTATTTTATTTTCTATCATGTTTTAATATTGGTGTTTATATTGTTAACCACCCAGAGTTCTCTTGCAGCCAACTTGTTGGGAGAATTGCAGTCACCCTTGCTTTCTCTGAATAGCTGAAAACACATTTTTTTCATTTGTTCAAAGTGTTTTTAAACTAGCTCATTGGTGGTGTTTTTAGCTGGCAGAAAGGACAAGCATGCTAACTATCACAGATATTGGCACTCACATATTCTAATCGATTAAGCTGATTCCATGCTTTCCAGAAGCAAGGCTGATAAGAATGTTTTCAGTTTTAGCAAAATTGTGGTAAATATTCATCAAGATGTGGTTTATATTAACAAATTAAAGTCCAAAACTCGAATAGTCCAGCCTATTAGGAAGATTGTAAAGAAGAGGGAAAAAAAAGACAAGCAAGAAAAGAGGTTTTGGTTCAGTGGGCAGGTAGTGGGTTTATCAAAAATTCTTGCAGCAATTTCCTTCTCTCCAAAGTGCAAAACAGGCAAAAAGGAGGGGATTTTTCACTTCTATTCTGGTGAAGCTCTTAGTGTAATAATTACATTTAAATGCTAACGCCTATGTAAACTGCATTGAGAATACAACCTCATTGTTCCTTCATTTTTTAGGTAGATACTTCTAAATCATTTGCTGAACAAACTCCGCTGCGAGTACTGGGTCGAAATACAAGTCCTTCAAGAAGTCATCACAAATCTCAGTTAAAACGAGGTAAAAAGAATTACATCAATATTTACTGGATTTAAGTGTCAAACCAGAGGTTGAAATAGCTGTGTTGATTTCCAGGCGCTGGTAGGAAAGAAACAAGAATAAGAAATGGAAATAAATAAATAGGTATAGCATATAATTAAGCTATTGTTCAACTGTGTAGATGGAAATCTGTCATCCTTACTCCTTCAGATTCACTTTGGGTACCCATCACTCAGTGGTTTCAGTGGAAAGCGGAGTACCTCTTTAGACAGTATGTCTTGCGTTCAACACATTTATTAAGTCAATCCCATGGAAAAGAACAGGCTGTGGCTCAAAATGATAGAGTTTGGATCAGGATGCACGCTGCAGTTCTCTTCCACTTGTTCCAAGTCCGAGGCTAGAAACAGATATTCAAAGAAAATCGTATTTCCTGCTCTTATGATGTCTTAATTCCAACAGCACCATTTTCTTTTGGAATGAGTGAATGTGCAATCAGACATATAAAGAATGCCTGCATATACAGTACATTTTGAGCAGTTACATGTGTCCTGGTGAAATCCCCCAGTATCACAGGATTCTATTGTTCCAAGTCCGAGGCTAGAAACAGATATTCAAAGAAAATCGTATTTCCTGCTCTTATGATGTCTTAATTCCAACAGCACCATTTTCTTTTGGAATGAGTGAATGTGCAATCAGACATATAAAGAATGCCTGCATATACAGTACATTTTGAGCAGTTACATGTGTCCTGGTGAAATCCCCCAGTATCACAGGATTCTATTCTTCCCAGCACCATTTTCTTTTGGAATGAGTGAATATGCAATCAGACATATAAAAAATGCCTGCATATACATTTTGAGCATTTACATGTGTCCTGGTGAAATCCTCCATTATCACAGGATTCTGTTCTTCCTGCCCCTCTGGGTATATCTTCCTCTTTTGCTGTCAGTAGAAACCTTGGGTTTTTCTAATAATAATATGCCTGTCAGGAAGAAGATGCTTTATATTGCAATGGAGCCCAAGAATGTGTCTATGGGGAACTTGGGATCTGGATTTATCTGTTTTTGATTCCCAACGCTCTACAAAACACACTTTTTGTTCTCTCTGGGCATTGGCGGAAGAGTTCTGATTTGTTTTAACATGGGAATGCATGGGGTGGGTGTTCTTATGTAGATGCACAGATTATTCCTGACACTATTTTCAGTCTATGGCAAGGAGCTGTGATGTGGGATTGCACAGTCATGTGTCTTAGTTAAGAAATGGGAGAGCCATAGCTTAGAGCACTAATGTCTTTCTACAGCCAACAGTTCTGAAACTTGAGAGAGCACTGCTTTCTAGATGCCGGGTGACTGTAATGTGTAGTTCTGGCTGAAGGGAAACTTTCTGTGCTTTCCCATTCTGCCACTCAAGACTGATGAAGGCTGCTCTGGTAAGGTGCTGGGAAACAGTTTTATGCTCCTCAGCGAGACTTGAGGAGAAACTGTCCCTGCCAGCTCCACTTGGCAAGTTTGGCTTCCAAGCTTAGCAACTCCCAGCTTTTGATTGATCAACAATACGAGAGATCTACCAGGAGGGGATGCAACTCATGCTGCCTCCTACACAGAGATCACACCACTGCCAGGAAAAAGTGTTTCCCCCCCTTCTCTGTTGTGTTAACTCCCCCCAACCAGCTGCAAGAAGAATTCAGCTGAGCCTTGGATCCATTTTTCCCATTCCAGCATGTATACAAAATGGGCCTCGAAAACATTTGCCAATTTCCTTTTTTATTAAATGCTGACAGAGAAACCCATGCCCCTATCTCTAGTCTGTCCTCTCCAGCCCTGGAAGTACTGCTATTCTTTGCCAAAAAGCATGACAAGAACAGGAGCAAATGTTGGTGGAAGCATCTTGCTGTGGTGGTCCCTTCACTGTGTTCACCCGAACACACTAGATACCATGACGTAGGGGTTTCCAAGTATTCAGCCTCCTGCCCCTCAATACGCACAAAGGCTCGATGCTTTTCTTCTCCTTTTCCTTTTAGACCAAAAGCCAAGGAAGTTAAGCCATTCCCAACAAATCTGCATCTTTTATAGAAGAGTGGGCAACTATTGTCCACCAGGTTTTTGGGTTGCTGCCCTCAGAATTCCTTACCATGGAATATCCACAGCTAGGCTGTAGTGTTCACCATGCTCATGAATATTTATGTTGATATTTTCATGCACCAATAGGAGTTGATGGGGGTGGAGTTAAGTGAGGGGAAAACAAAAAGGGGAGAGAGAGAGAAAGAGAGGGGAGAGATTAGAAGAAAGAAGGTTTTAGTTGAGAGTTAACAACTTTGACTGGTCTTTTATCACTTGAAACAATAAAAAAATTCTAATTGATCATTAAATGATACGTTGCCCAGACCTCTGTCATTAATAGTGAGCAAAGCTGATGTAATCAATTGGTGGCAGCTGAATGACGCGTAGCTTGTGCCTTTGATTGGTGAAACAACCAAGGGCCATGTGGAAACGTGACATAGGCTATCCACAGCTTTTCTGGATTCTTCCTTCGGACTAAAGCTTGGAAATGTTAGGTTTTTTTGATAGCAACTCCCAGGGATTCTGGGAGTTATAACCCAGAAATAAAACAAGACAAGACAAAACAAAGAAAACCCTAACATTTTCAAGCTTTACTTTAGATTCAGAAATCTCCACCCCTAGGTTCTGTGTAGCAAGAATCTATTATTTCAGTATTATTCTGTGGGGCACTGTTATATATTGCCTACTGAATTGATGACATAACAGACTTAGGGCCACTGTTGACATTGCAGTTATCAAAAGACGTTTCTCAGGTCTGGATACAAACTAATGTAGAGCCTTGGCCAAGAGGAAACAGGTGCACTTAAACTAGCATGCAGTCTTTTCTCAGGCCCTCATTTCTCTCTCCTTGTGTATGCACAACATAAAAGGTACAGTATTTGAATTCTTTAGACTGGATTGTTCTTTTGTTTCTTGCAGCATTGTCGTTTGATAGTTGGAAAGCAGCATGCCCAGCAGCTAAGGTAATATTAGAAATACAGTCTCTAAAAGCATTGTTAGCAACTTAACTAATGAAATATCTGTGATTTTTTAAAAGACTTGTTCTTTCCTGCAGTGTTGTTTGAGCTTACAAAATAAGCCTAAGGGGAAAAAATCAGAATATTTTGAGTGGATGGCAGAGGGGACAGTTTATGTAACCTGTAATAATATAATTTTCATTCCTACAATGGAGTATATAAAACTAGCTCAGATATAAGCCAGTGCCATGTATCTGAACTGTTACTGTGAAGAGTACGTAGAATTATTTCATAATGCCTGTACTTGCCTTCTATGGTCTAGTCTCCTGATATCTTGTCATAGCTAATTCTGGTATATTTTTCTTTTAGACAAAGATGTTAAGCTCTTTGAAACAGGCAAGAGGTAACTGAGCTATCAATACTTATCAAAATCAGAACAGAAGAACCCTATAACAATCCTAGTTTTGCCCTGCTTTTAATGTTCAGAGTATTCTGCACCCCTGAATTCAGTCTCTGCACAAAGTTAATCTAAAATCTGTCTTTACAGTAAGTTTTCCCTTTCTTCACAGGTTATCAGGGAGCCAAATGAGCACTATAGTTTGGATCCTGCTTCTTCATCTTTGGAAACAAAGGCACCTGTCAGTTACTCAAGCAACTCTCCTCCTGTTTCCCACAATGCTTCATTTGCCTCCTCAAAGCACTACCGGTCACCAAGTCCTGGTGCAAGATGGGCGTCTTCTCAGCACAGGTTTAGACCTCCTTTAGACAATTATCAGCCAGGCCCAGTGTCAACATTCTGTATGGCAGGAAATCCCAGTTGCTAATCAGTGAGAGCAGTTGCTGTTGCTCCTCCTTATGTCCATCACTATCAGCCAGAAGCCTTGGGAAGTAAGAGGAATGAGCAGTGGTGGTGGTTGGGGGGGGGGAGGGGTGTTATGTAACAGTGGAGAAAGAACTCTTGGCCCAGTTGTCTTGGCAGTATATTGGCACACCTCCAGCATTTCTGGATTCATAGGTGGACAGGCAATGAGGCTGTACTCTCACAGACTCACACAAAGAGACGATTCTGTCACCCTGGCAACAGGGCCGGCTGTATCTGGTGATGAGAGCGTGAGAGGAGGTTGTACCAGGGTGCTGCATCTGCAGCACCAGTTGCTGCAGATGCAGCAACCAGTGGAAGCGATGGACAGTGGAAGTCTGAGCAGGGCGATCATCTCGGCGATGAGACAAGTGGCTGCCTGCTGGGCCTTGCCCTTTGACCGCCGGCTAAGGGTCATGATGGGCTCAATGGGTGCCACTTCGTGGAGCATGGCCTGCCTCGTGCTCCCGGCCCCAGAAACCCCTGTGGCTGCCCTTTTGAAAGGAGGCGCCTCCTCCTGCCTCCCTTCTGCCTTCCCTGGCGCTGCTCTTTTCCCTCCCCCAGACGGTGCGGACGAAGGGCCTTCGCTGGACAGGAGCCTTGGGTGGTGCCTCTCCAGATGTTGGCGGAAGGTGATGGAGGACAGATGCCTGGGGTCTGACCCCCTCCGGACCACCCCAAGGCAGATATTGCAGCGTGCCAGCCGTGGGTCATCGCTGAGCACCGTGAAATGATCCCACATGGCTCCTCTGCCATGTTTGCCCAAACGAGGACCCACTGCCTGCCCCTGACTGCTGGCCTGGGAAGAACTCTGTGTCCCAGGGGTGCTGCTGGTCTGGGAGGAGGGAACAGATTACTCTGGGGACAGAGGTGGGGTGGGGGGCTGTGAAGCCTGCCCCACCATTACTGGTTCCAAATCAAACTGGGGATTTTCAGAAACCAGTAACTCCTCAGATTCCTCTAGGAAGAGGAGCGGCAGTTCTTTTGGAATCTTTGCTTCCATGCCTGCCTGCAAGGCCATCGGAGGAGGGAGAGTGGCACTGGTTATCGTAGACGTGGCTGTGCACGTGGTGGTCATTGTGACAGTGCTGCATAAATAAATAAAGCAATGGAGACTGAGGAAGGAAGCTAATAGTGGGTCAGACACTGTGTGTGTAAATTTTATTTTTAGAATGATGGTGGTATAATTCTTTTACTAAAATGTGACCTGCCTGCCTAAACAAAGCCTCCCCCCCTCAGTACAAGGTAATTAGGAAAATTTCCCCCCACTGGACCCACTGTGGCAAAGAAGCCAAAAAAGTTAAAGCAATGGAGACTGAGGAAGGAAGCTAATAGTGGGTCAGACACTGTGTGTGTAAATTTTATTTTTAGAATGATGGTGGTATAATTCTTTTACTAAAATGTGACCTGCCTGCCTAAACAAAGCCTCCCCCCCTCAGTACAAGGTAATTAGGAAAATTTCCCCCCACTGGACCCACTGTGGCAAAGAAGCCAAAAAAGTCCAAAAAGAAAGACCCTGCCACCTGCCAGCTAAGTCTCAGTCTCTCTCTCTCTCTCTCTCTTTCTCTCTGCTGGCAGCTGATCCGGAGTGGGGTCTTGAGGTACCTCCGTGCCCAGGATTCCCCCTTGCATCGCCACTTCCGGTTCCATCGCCATGTTGCCGTGGCACGCTGCCTGCTGGGTTGTTTTTGTTTTGTTTTCAGTTTGGCCATGCAAGCCCAAAAAGGTTTGCCACCACTGAACTAAGGCATGTGGTTTTGAAAATGGAAAAGCAAAACAAAGTTAAGAAAGTCATAAACAACACTTCCCCCAAAAAGCCAATCATCACTGTCAACTGAATGTAAATAATAGAGCCACAGATTGGTAAAATCATGCAAGGAACAAAAACAAGCACCCGCTGCTATCCACAGCAAGATCAGGGAAGAGAATCCTTTTCACATAGTGGCTAAGAGATAGCTGAACTTATGCCAAGGGCTATCCCTGGTGGAGAGGGTCCAGGATACCCCCTAGACTGGAAAGGTCCCTCATTGGTCATCCCAGACTCACCCATGAAGGTGCAGGTACCTTTAGAAATGCTTCAAAACCAAAAGGTAGGTTTGCATTTCCGTGGGAGCAAATAGCCCTACTATGAAGAAGAAATATTCATGATTCATTATTTGAGTTTGTCTCTTATCATTTGTTCTTTCACTGAGAAATGAAAGCACAGTTTTGGCTTAATCTTTCTCCATATTAAAGTCATTTATCTTCAGCGCTTATTTTGGATTCATATTCAAAGCAGGTTTATTCATATGTAAAATAATTTGGTTAAGCTATCCTAGCTGGCATGGCTTTTCAAAAGAAGACAGATGCACAAAGGATCCATATTGGAATAAGAGATCAGGTTTAATAACTCAGTGGGACATCTGTATTCAGACCAAAGCTTGGAAACTTCTTTTTAAGTAACTTTTTCCAGGATCCCTATTGAGTCAAACAATTCATGCAACAGATGTAGCAGGAGTGGATCTAGCATCTTTGCATGAAAAGGTTATCTGTGACCTTATGTAAGCATAACCTGTGTTTCCAAAATGGGGATCTCTGTTTGCACTGACTCTGTGGCCCAAATCCTGTTTGCATAATTTTCAGCTTGCACCAGTAAAATGTATTTTAAATGAACTAAATAATTCCTTCCTACCCATCCACCCCATTTGAGGTTCTGTTTTACCCTGGTAAGCTTTTGGGAGCCTTGGGATGGGGTGGGATGGGATGAGTTGTCAAATATTCCTGCCTATCACTGCCAGAGGTAGTAATCTGGTAATGATTTTTGACAGTTAAGGCTCCCTCCCCCCCATCCTGAGACTCCTCAGTTTTACTGGTGTGAGCTGATGACACAACCAGCTTACGCAGCACAAAGTTACACAGACAGAATTTAGGCCATTTTGTGCAAGTGTGATATCCCATGTTGCTGTGTGAACAGAATGTGATGCATTATTGGTACACAACAGGATCCAGAACAATGTACCAGCACTGAACAATGGAGATTCCCAGCTTCTGATGTTGGAAAGTGATATGGAGCTTTGCTCTGGCTAAGCAAGATTGATATCTGAGCTAGAGCCATATCTATTCTGTGCATCCATGTATTTGTAATGGATTCAGTTTAATGGCATTTACATATTTGCACAGGGGTAGATTCTAATAATTTTAATGCTCCTTCCAAGTAAGTTGCTAAGGATCACTGCTTCAGAAGGCAGATGCATGTTTTGAATTGCATTGCTTAAGTGACTGCGCCTGTGTGTGTAGAAAACAAAAGAATTAACCTAAGGCGATTTGAATTCATTGGCATTTTCCAGGATATACTCCAGCCCCAGTCCCACCTGGGAAGAGATTAATGAAAGAGTGAGGAATCTCCTAACCTCAGATGAAGCCAGGCAGAGACTTTCTGTGGTGAGTATGATGGGCTTATGAGGGCCAGTTTGCTACCCCGGGTGGAACAGCAAATGACGCCTCAACATTACCATTACCACATGTAACTCAAATCCAGATCCATATTTCCCAAGTCAGAAAATCCCACCAAGTGCCTCTTCACATCCCTGAGAAATACAAATGTCATAATAATTAGTCAAGTCAACGATTTGCTGCCCTTTTGTGACAGTCCCACAGTTGCTGCTTAAGCCAGCTATCTGACCCTCCCTCATGGGGCGGGGGGGTTGGCTCCATAAGGTGAACTACTAGAGACAATGGAATTATTACTGAGTGCTTCAAGTCCTAAATCACCCTACTCTATATAGTGGTGCCTTGACTTACCACCATGATCCATTCCAGAAGATGGATATAACTCGAAATGGTCATAAGTTGAAGCACCATTTCCCATTGAAATGCTTTGGAATGCGATTAATCCGTTCCGTCAACAACAACAACAACAACAACAGTAGCAGCAACAGTAACAACAACAACAGTAACAACAGCAGCAGCAGCACAACAACAACAACAACAACAATAATAATAATAATGCACACAGCAAGCCCGGTTGGAAGGCACTGGGGCTAAAAAAAACCAAAACCAAAAATAAACAGCAAAGCAAGCTGTGTCGCTGGGGCTTTTTAAAAAAACAACCAAAAATAAAGCACACAGCAAGCTCTGCCACTGGGGCTTTTATAAAAACACCCAAACCAAAAATAAACAGCAAAGCAAGCCCCAAAGGTGCTGGGACCGCCAAAAAAAATCCAAACGAAAAATAAACAAAGGAGCAAGCCCTGTTTGCAAGGTGCTGGGGCTGCAAAAAAAAAAATCACCAAAAAAACAAAACAACAACACAGCACAGGAACATACACCCCAGCCCAAAAGCACGCTGCAAAACCCACTCACAACAGTTTTTAAAAAGCAGAAAACAGCACCTTACCTTACCAGGCAGCCTCCTCGGATTGCACATTCTCTAACTGCTGGGGCGAGAGCTACAAAGAAGCAGCCTCGTTGCCACCTACAATTAGCAATTTCAATTTCTCCCCTTTTCCCCCTGCCTTTTTCTGTTCGTAACTGGAAGCTCTGACAGCAAGTCGAAGCAAAATTTTGCAGCTGGAACTGGTGGCGTAGTGGTTAAAACGCTGTACTGCAGCTAAAACTGTGCTCACGACCTGGGGTTCAAATGCCAGGTAGCCGGCTCAAGGTTGACTCAGCCTTCCATCCTTCCGAGGTCGGTAAAATGAGTACCCAGCTTGCTGGGGGGGGGCAATGTGTAGCCTGTATAATTAAATTGTAAACCGCCTGGAGAGTGCTTGTAGCGCTATGGGGCGGTATATAAGTCCAATAAATAAATAAATAAAATAAATAACTTGAAATGGTCATAAGTAGGATGATCATAAGTCGAGGCACCACGGTAGTCACAAATATTTAATACTGCCTTTTTCAAAAAGTCACCTTTACAAACAGAAAGTTTACAGTATATTTGTAAACCTGAAGCTAGGTTTTCAGAGCTGCACTAAATGAGGTATGTGTTGTGGGAGGTGTGTGAGCATTTTCCGAGTGTGTATAAATACAGTATATATAAAAGAGGTTCTGGAGCCCTGTAATAATTCCTCCCAAATAAGCAGTTTTGATGAAACAGTCTGAGGAGGAAGTATTAGGGAACTTTTGCTGCCACTGTTGTCGTTAAATGTGTTGAGCCCTCCTGCCCAGTTGCATTCCAGCAAAAAGATAATGTTGGGAAACTGCCCCTTGACTTCATCTAGTCAGGCCCTCAGTGAGCTGCTAAGCCCGTATCTGGAATATGTCATGTCAAATTGCAAGGTTGGGCTGACATGACTGACTGCTCTCCTGAAAAGTGGTAATATATATATACAGTGGTGCCTCGCTTAACGAGCGCACCGTACAACGACGAAATCGCATAGCGATCCCTTTTTGGGATCGCTAATGCGATCGCTTAACGACTTTTAGATAGGGCGAAACTCGCTTTGCGAAGATCGGTAAGCATTTCGCTTACCGATCTTCGCAAAACGAAGCCCCGACGATCAGCTGTTCGGCAGACAAAATGGCCGCCGGAAGCCCCAAAATGGCCGCGTGCAGCATTTTCGCGCCCTCCCCTCACTTAATGAGGGCGCGAAAATGGCTGCCGGCCATAGGAAGCATCGCTGAACGGTGAGTACAGGAGCCTTTTGGAACGCATTAAACAATGTTTAATGCGTTCCAATGGCTTTCCCTGTCCCGTTCAGCGATGTTTCGCTATAGCGAAGGTTAATCCGGAACGGATTAACCTCGCTATGCGAGGCACCACTGTATATATATATTTAAATCATCTACATAGAAAGTCAGGTGTCAGTGGCAGGTATTCTGTCCCAGCTTTTTTGTTGAAGTGGTAGTTTTCTATGTGCAGAATTTAATTTAATTTTAATTTAATTTAGTTTAATTGAAAAGTAAGAACTAAGCCAAACATGGACCTGGTTTATTTGTACACCATATTTGCATAATATGTTCACACAAGAAATAAAACAATTGACACAAGAAATAAAAGCAATCATCATGTTAAAGAAATAAATATTGATAAATATTAAAACAAACAAGCATATTTCTGTAACTCTGTAATTCAAGGAATATAAAAGCAATTTTTAAAACCCACTAAGGAATGGGAGCAAATTAGGGAAAACATAGTTGTTTGATTCTCCTTTTTGAACCTGAGTTCAAATCTAAGATGTCTGACTAAAGAGTAGAGATGTATCAGGCTTGGCATTGCAGAAGATGGAATACAAGGGGCAGAGGTTTTATTTGGTCAGCTGCCAGAACCCCAAGCTGTGGGAAGAGGTTCCCACTCTTCGTACAGCTGTTCTGTATAGAGAGAACAAGCAATGCCTGTCTCTAGCTTATAGCTTCTTGTTAAAAGACAACAGAAGCTGCTCAACTGAAGTGTGCTATTCATGGGCCCATGAACTGTAGGCAGTACATACATCAATTAATGGTGAAGTCATTTCTCCAAGCCGACACTTTATGCATCCAAAATGGCATCATCTGCACCATCCTTAGCTCAGAGATGAATTTAAAGCTGCAGCTGCCGTCAGAAGGGGCAAACACTAGAGATGTTGGGTAACTTCCTTCAGCTTACAATGTAAGGGACAATTGATCTTGACAACTGTACTTTTGTGCACTGCTGCACAGATGTGAGCACTAGTCTCCTTCACATTACAATACTGCAGTACAGTTCCTGGATCAAAATGCATACCAAAAGCTTACAAAAATATATATATACTTTTAGGGTAAATTGCACACAAATGCATGTTTATTTGTTTGCAGATTTGTTTTTAGTTCAAAAAATTACACATTAATGCAGAAATGAAAAGGAATGAGGTGTGAAGATTCTGATTCTGGCATCCTTTTAGGAGTAGGTACAAGTTTGAGGGAAGAGATACCAGATCCATGTGAAAAACTGATTGATCCTTGCCTCATTCTGAAAGCTGAGTGCATAGCTCCCTATTTATCCCTTTGAATGTTGAGAAGAGCTGTCTTCTGTTCATAAAATGCTTAGATCGTTTTCCTTGCCTCCAGAAACTTGATCTTATGCTTTGTTCGAGTCCGAAACTGATTTCATTTCCTAATTGGTGGATCCCTAGGATAAAAACTCAGGTATGCCTGAGTTAACCCAAACTGACATTACTTGCTGTTGTCTCTCTAAAATGATGCATGTACTGAATGAACTTTAACATAAAGGTACCCTTGGCTAGCAATCTATTAGAGGGCAGCGTCGTACATTAGCTGTCCCTGAACATACACTAATAAGCTGCTTTAAATTTCCTGGAACAGCTGATATATTTGTTGTTGTTTTTTTGGTCAGGAGCATTTAGCAGTTCTGCTGCTGAGGAACAGCTCAGGTTAATGGGGAAAATGTTTTGCAGGGAGCCACTGATTCTGAAATTGATGATGTCCTTGAAAGAAGGTCTGTCTCTTTGAGTAGTTCTCCACAGGGTGACTTGGTGGAAAAAAGATACTGATATCTGGCACGGACAAGGTACGCTGCTTTAGGTCCTTTCTTCTCCATTTTCTAACAAAAAATGTACTGAAGTGGAATGTTTCAAGAGGCTTTGAAAAACAGTACCAAGGAGATTATAAACAACCTGTGACATAGCTATAGGACAAACTGTTACAATAATGCTCTGAGCAGCCATATTTTTTTAACCTGACATTTCGTTATAAATTCACATAGCAAGTTTTATGTTTATATGTTCTGAAAATATCCAATCATTTCTAGCAAGCAAGATGATTTTATCCACGGGATTATGATTTGTCATTGTTTCCCCAATTTCAATGTATCAAAATCTTTACTAAGGGACGTGGTGGCGCTGTGGACTAAACCGCAGAAGCCTGTGCTGCAGGGTCAGAAGACCAAGCTAGCTATAGGACAAACTGTTACAATAATGCTCTGAGCAGCCATATTTTTTTAACCTGACATTTCGTTATAAATTCACATAGCAAGTTTTATGTTTATATGTTCTGAAAATATCCAATCATTTCTAGCAAGCAAGATGATTTTATCCACGGGATTATGATTTGTCATTGTTTCCCCAATTGCAGTGTATCAAAATCTTTACTACCAGACAGTATCCCCCTCTCCATTGCCAGTCTCTAAGATCCGTGTGAGACTCAAAATGTCAGCTATGGATCATTCAGGTTGTTCAGTGGTGTTTCATGCTCAGGATTTAATTGGGTTTCAATTCGTGGAAAATATCTGCCCATTCTCCAGCTGCAGGGTGCTTCCCTCCTGTGCCTTTTCTGGCAGATGATTCACTCAGATGAGGAGGTGGGGCAGGGAAGCTCGCAGTTCTGCCAATGACTGGACACTTATGCAGAGAAGGCCCAGGGGAGGGAAGCACGCTGCAGCTGGTGAGTGGGCAAGTGCGCAGAGGAGGCGAGAGAGGGAAGGGCATCTGTTGAGGTGCAGTGCCAAACTAGACCGAACCGCTGAAATGTGGTTTGTGCCCATCTCTGGTCCTGGGACATCACAATGAAATATTCAAACTCCCAAGCTACTAAGTGCGAACTGCTGAAAAAATTGCATTGTAATATTTCTGTTTTTAAATCTATTATGTTTGTAGACATCTCTGGGGGCCCTGATGTAGTCCTAAATGCTTGTGTAAATAAATAAAAGACCTGGCCAGCAAAGAGAATTCATACCATACAGCAGGGGAGACAAACCTTTGGCACTCTAGATGTTTTGGACTACAACTCCCACAGTCCTTTGGTTTTGGCAATATAGGCTGGGGATTTTGGGATTGGAAGCATCTGGAGTGCCAAACGTTCACAACCCTGCTCTAGAGATGATCTCAGAATCCTTTGTGATATATGTCTTCATTGGTCAGTGTTCCAGAGTTCTCTGCAATTAAGGGTTCCATAAGAGTAGAGAGCAGAAGCACTGATCTATAATGTGGATTTTTAGATCAAGTTTACCGATTTGATTAGAGAAGAATTATATATATATATAGCAATGTTTCCCAACCTTAGGTGTTCTTGGACCACAATTCCCATAAATCTTGGCCAGCACAGCTAGTGGTGAAGGCTTCTGGGAGTTTTAGTCTAATAATATCTGGGGATCCAAGACCATTTTGGGATCCACTGATTTACAGCAATAAAATTAACAAAATAGAAGAACAAGAGGTATAAATATGTTCAAGGATAGAGTTTCTGTGTAATTTTGTCTCTGGTCCCCCCCCCCCAATAACAGATAATAAATTGTGTCTTGCAGAAAAAATGGCAGCAGACTTGGGTGGATGCTTGCAGGCCAGGACAGATAATAAATTGTGTCTTGCAGAAAGAATTGCAGCAGACCTGGGTGGATGCTTGCAGGCCCAGTTGCTGGCAAGATCTTCCTTCTAGAGTCCCTTGATAGATGGTGTTCCTCTTCTGTGTGATGTTTAAATTGTTTAGAAACTGAGTCTATGGATTGAAAGATGGTGCTGATTAAACGGTTGATTTATATGTTTTCAAAACTGTGCAGATGTATCCGCTCATTTCAGACTGAAGCCATAATAATATTGAACGTTGGTGCAGTATTGCTTTGCATTTAAGCTGTTTGAAGTATTTAATATGTGTGAAAGAGTGTTTATTTTGAATTATTGTTGTTGTTGTTGTTATTATTGTTGTTTCAACTTACCTTACTGCTAAGGTTTTAGGATTGTGCTTAGTTTAGGTGATTTCAAGTGAACAGATTAATTCACAAGCAAAAGTGCCATTGTCAATTTTTAAATTGTTCCAGCAAGGAGATGTCAGCCATACACTGGAGAGATTCACAGTAAACTTCAAAGGGATCTCCTTGGAGGCGAGCAGTTACCTTGAAACCCTGGAACTGATTTTAAATATTTCCCTTCTATTGAAAAAATTGAAGGGGAACTATAAAAATGCATTATAAACGGGGGTGGGACAGAAAATATATACCTCTATCCTGGCCAGGACAAGCACTCAAGGGGCTTTGGAGAGAGCAATTTCTGCACCATAGGTCACCCCCCGAAGCAGAATTGCTCTGCATGACTTTCGTCCTCAGCTGGCTGATTGCACATAACTGTTGCTCTAATCTAGTAAACCTGAAGTGCTTTGGCCTTTCCATGAAGGAAAGAAGCTCTGATTGCCTATTTTGATTGGCCTCCCCCCCCGCCCCTTTCTGGTTGTTCCAGCAATTCCATCCATTTTGAGATGGGGAAGAAACCCAGTGCATGGAGAAGGACCACTTTTGCCTAGTCCGCAAGGGGGCGCAAGCATCAGATTCACCATTAGTTCCCTTTCTTTAAGGATGTTAACATCTTACTTTTGTACATGGAAATGAGTATTTGAGTTAAATATTCAAAATAAATCCAATTGAAACCCCTCAAACCCTGGTTTCTTCCCTATGGATAAAATAAAATAAGATAAAATAACATTCAGGGAGAGGAAAGGATATATTGAGAGAAACTGTCAACTTTCACCATTGATCACAGCTTGGAAGACAGTCAAAGCCCGGTTATCTCAGCCCTGAGTTCTCTCCCACCTTTGTCCTCTCCGATTCCTTTTGCAGTGCAGACTGCTGGAAACAATGGAGGAATACATGTTCTAAGGCATGTCTGCACTACACATTCAAACCAGCTATTGAACCTGCTTCACAATCTTTATGCGTGGGCCTGTATGCATAGCTCATAGCTGGTATGATGTAGTGTGATGAGTGAAAACTGTTGCACATTTACCCTAAAAGTCTCTTAAGGAAGAGTGCGGAATACCGCCCTAATTTTATAGTTAGCATGACTCTTGAGTTCAGAGGAAGCCATGATACTCTGTTTTCAAACCAGCTAAATATGTACCAGTGTGGTGTAGTGGATAGAGTGATGGACTAGGACTCTGGAAGTCTGGATTCAAATCCTCCCTCAGCCATGGAAGCTCCCTGGGGATGTGAAACTGATAAAGCCGCTCCTTAAATATCTCACCTTGAGAGCTCTGTAAGGGTCACTATGTTGGTTTCAATTTGACAGCACGTAACAACAACAAAAGGATAGAGTGATGGGACCCTTGACTTACAGACGGCTTGACTTACAGACTTTTTGAGTTACAGACTTCTCTGGCCGCAAAATTTAGGTTTGACTTGCAGCCTGAGAATTGACTTACAGACCAGAAAAAAACCAAAATGGAACAAAAATGGCCTGTTATGGGATTAATCGGTTTTCAATGCACTGTAGGTCAATGGAGCCTTGACCTACAGACTTTTTGACCTGCAGCCACCGTTCCAGTACGGATTAATTCTGTAAGTCAAGGGTCCAACCAAGATGTTCTTGGTTGTAGGGTTAGGGTGTATATATAGCATGGAAGCAACTCCCATCAGTGCTAGTAACCAACATAGCCAATAGGGACAGATTCTGAGAGTGGCAGCCCAAAACATGGGAACCGATATCCTGTTGCCTAAATGCAGAGCAGAAGGGAAATTGTGTCAGCATCTCCTCCCTGCTCTGGCAGGTATGTGGTGAGGAGCCTTCTGGTCTGGTAGGAGCACTTTGACCTTTCCCTTCTGCACAGCATTTAGGCAGCAAGATAGCCTTGGAGGGTCACAGTTGTGCACCTATGATTTAAAAGCACTTTGAAAGCCAAGAGACAGATTTGCTTAACACACAGGATCCAAACTTCAGAAACAAAAGACTAGCTATTACCTACTAGAATTTGACTTAGAACTAAGGATTTACATCAAGGTAAACTCAGTTTTTCAGCCTGTTTTTTTTTAAAGCCCAGAAATATATAATGCAGGAGTAAAAGCAGTGTTCCTAAGAATGCAGAGTGCTGCTGCTGCTTCTTCTTGGTCTCTGTGATTCGTGTATATAGAGGTCTTATGCCTGTGCAGAGTCATACCCCAGTCATTTGAAAGTCAGTAGCTTTTGAGGGGAAGCCGGACTCTCACCCCCAGCTTACCATAACTAGGATCCTTCATTTCCTCTTCATCCACCACCCAATGAGCAGCTTTCCAGGACATTCTCCTGATCAGCAAGTTTTTCTTGTCAACTGAGTGGCTTTATTTGGTATGTAGTTCTGTAGATATTAAAATATTTTATTTAAAATATTTTTACCCTGCCTTTCTCCCAAGGAAGGACCCCAATGTGACTTACATCATGGAAACACAATATTAGAGTTAAAAATGGTGAATTATTCAAATTGGGTTGTTGTGGGTTCTTCGGACTCTTTGGCCGTGTTCTGAAAGTTGTTCTTCCTAACGTTTCGCCAGTCTCTGTGGCCAGCATCTTCAGAGGACAGTACTCTGTGCTCTGGTATTAATAACATTATATTAAGAATGTTAGGTAAAGTATTACTAAAACAGATTTAGAAATGACAAAATGCAAACCGTCTTATTGTAAAATCTCTTTTAGACAGTCTGTCAGTAAGGAAAAACCTGCCTGAAAATAAATGTCTTGGCCTGGTTCTGGAAGGAGAGGAATGATGCGGCCAGCTTGGCCTCCCATGAAAACTTGCTTTTCAGACTTTTTTTTTCACTTTTTACACAATTATGGG